GAGACAGAGAGACAGAAAGCGAGAAATCACCCCCCAGGGGGGATGGCCACACCGCAATCCCTTCTCCTCCATTCTCCTCTCGGGATCTTGGGCACGCACGCACACGTGCCCGGTGTGGGTTTTAAGCCACCTGGTCCGGGACACGAACTGCGGTCAACTACGTGAGAATCCAGCGACATAGCCATTACGCTAACTGCTGGTTCCCAATAAAACAATTCTTTTTTAAAAAAATTCTTGGACATTTTGCAAATAGTTGTTAAAACCGCACAGGCCCCGGCAGGGGTCCAAGATGCCACCTCCCCTCACATAAGCCAGAGGTTACACCAGAACCCAGACGTCTACAGCTCAGTGACCAATCACAGCTCAGAAACCCACTCTGAACTCTCTTCGCAGCGCCTGGCACATCACGCCCAATTTGGAGCAGACAGGTGAGTCCATGAAGTGAGACCTGCCAGCTCAGATGGCTCCTGCCAAATCATTCTGATTTGGGAGCTGTCTTCCTCACTGGGAACTCGTCCTCCTGGCTTCCCCCTGCTGGTTGCTGAGCAGAATTTGGCAGGAAAAATGCCCGCTTTGGAAAGCCTGGCCACCTCTGAGCACTTCAAAGCGGCCCGTGTGAGTGAGTGGCGTGCGGGCAGGAGCTCGCAGTGAGAGCAGCAGGAACATCAGGACCCGCGGGTTAGGAGTGTGTCACTTTTGAACTCTGGGTTCTCTTTCAAGTTTAAAGGAAGAGAGAAACTACCACGAAAATAACACTGAAAGGGGGAAAAAAAAAACGACAAAAAAAGGATAAAGACAAGTTTAGTCCAAACCCAGTCCCCAAGACAGTTCTGAGTTGCTGGTTTTCTGCCATAGACCTTTCTAATTCCTGGATCATGCGTCATCGCTAAAGATCTTTCCTAAGAAAATGGCCCCCACGGTGGCCTGAAAAGAAACGTTGTATGGGTCACACGAGTGGGTGATAGGTGGTGGTGACGGCGGTGACGGAGGTGTGGGGGTGCTGGTGGGATAATGGTGGGATGACGGGGTGGTGGTGCTGACAATGGTGGGGTGGCTGCGGTGACATTGGGGGTGGTACTGGTGACCACATTCCAATCCCCACAGATGAGTCCCAGACGCATAACAGAGTCTTGGGAAACCCACACTACCTATCTTCGCTGTCCATCAAATGTTGATTAATCTCATCACAGCAATGCCGTTCTTTGATTAAAACTTGAAAGGCACTTTTGAAAGAATGAAAAAGAAGCGGAATTAATGCAACTGCTTGAAGGATGTATTTCTCTCCATGGGTGAGTTTTTATTCTTCATGATTATTTTCATCACAGTCATTGTTACTGAAAGCATTTCAAAGTATCAATAGTCCTTGAAACTGCTGTTCCGGAAGATTCCGAGGATGCAGAAGTTTCTGTTTACTGAGGACTATTGTGAAGCCACGTGACAACACTTTTCTACCAATGCTCAGAGATGTCTGGGCGAGAGAATTCACACTGGGAGCACTAATTACTAAACGCGGAGAACCCCTCCCCAGGTGTTTACGTACACGGACACGGACGATCACTCACACTTGTCCTCCTTGCAGACTCAGCCTAAAACTGAGTGTCCCCAACCTCTGTGAAGTTAGGAGGGAGCACATGACTGCTTGGCCCATGAAGCGTGAGCAGGAGTGGTGTCCCTGCCGAGCAGAGCATGATGAGCTAAGGTGGGATGCATCATGTTCTCGTTCACCTGCTGTGAAAAAGACAGAGGCAGCTGCAGAAGGAAGC